GCTGGCAGCCGCTTGGCACCAGTGCCCTTGTCCTGGGTGAGCGGGGAACCAGAGTCTTCCCAGTGCCCCCGCGCCATGGGTTGCGTGAGGGTCATCAGCTCCAAATGAAGAGCGAACCTGGTGCTGTGCTGTGTATCGAGTGTAAGACTCGGATGCAAATTTCATCTCTGGTTTCTTGGTAGCAAGAGCCGGAGGTGCAGTAGAGCTCAGCTTGAGAGGGAAAGGAAGTGGTAAGTGATCCAGTTCTCCAGCAAGGAATCTGAAGTTATTGACTGGGGTGGTGTGCTACCCTGTGAGCAACGGGAGAAGGGTTGAGAAGAGAGGGGGAGTGGACTCTCAGCCTGTACTGGACCAGGATCCTCCCTTCAGGTTGCGTGGGGGTTTACACGGTCTCTTTCCTCTTGCTGTCTCCCAGGAACAACAGCCCAGTTGGACAGACGATTTACCATCCTGTCACCTCTCTGGGGTGGGCTCAGCTCCGAACCGTTCCTACAGTGCAGATGGCAAGGGGACAGAGGGTCACCCCTTGGAAGACAACTGGTTAAAATTCAGGTAAGTGGGTTGCGCCTTGGACACATGTTCCTGCAGACACAAGGGCAGGTAAAAATGGTATTTAGTTTGTCACGCAGGACTTGGAAGAAGAGGGTGAGGCCCAAGCATGCAGGAGGTGTCTGGTTAAACTTGTTACATATGTCTGTGTCTCGCATAGTCTGTGACTTCTTTGCTCCTGCCCTCTTTAACAGGAGTGAGAACAACTGCTACCTCTATGGTGTCTTCAATGGCTACGATGGCAACCGAGTCACCAACTTTGTGGGTCAGAGGCTCTCTGCGGAATTGCTGCTGGGACAGCTACATGCAGATCACAGCGATGCTGATGTGCGTCGAGTTCTTCTGCAGGTAAAGAAGCTTTGGCTGGCAACAGCTCCCGCTTCTCACACTACCTACCTCCTCTTTTTGTCACCAGGGGAGCAGCATCTGGTTTCTATGGGGGTTGGAAACATCTGCGAATGGTTGCAATTGCACTCATCCTGAGCAGCTCTAGTGCTTTGTTTCACTCCTACGTCATATCCATCTGTCCCCCTGGCTCTGTCAGTACAGTGCTGAGAGCTCTCCAGGAAGCTGCAGCTAGTCTTTGGACATGTAGGAACAAGTCAGCCTCTGAAGGAGAAGACAGTGAGTGAAAGGGGCAAGTTAATGTGTGAGGAGGTGGAGTTGTGAGTGTGCTTCTTGAGTGATAGGCAAGTTCTTACAATGGAGACACAAAATCACGTAGTTCTCTGACATTGCTGTGAATGTAATTTTTATGTTTTTGTCTTCCATTTTGAGTTGTTGCAAATTGTTTTTACAAGCTGTTAACTATTTATGCTGAAATAATTGTGTTTCAGTGTTATGTATATCCTTGAATGTCTGTGTGTACCATGATACCTGCTCCTATGAGCCAGTCTTAGGGAGATGGGGATGGGTAACCTCAAAGGCGTTGGATGAGAACTTAGTTTTATCTTTATGGCCTTTCTTAGGCTTTTGATGTTGTGGAAAGAAGTTTCCTGGAGTCCATTGATGATGCCTTGGCAGAGAAGGCCAGTCTGCAGTCCCAGCTACCAGAGGTAACGTAACCTTAACAATAGAGATTGCTGGAGGTCTCACCTTCCAGATTGCTGGGTGAAGTTTGGGCATATTAGTCAGTCTGGTCCAAGGGAGGCTGTAATTGAAATTTATTCCTCTGTGATTCTCTTCTGGGAGCTTGCTTGAAGGGAGCTAAGCATTTTGGTCCATTTCCCAGACTTCCCACCCTTCATACTGGCACTACTTAGACCCATCATTGGTTGTCTTAGGAACTAAATATAACATGCTTCAGTCTGTGCATGTGGCTCTTCCAGGACAAAGCCACATGATGCAGATGAGAGGCAAGGTCTCAGATTTGCATGGCATCTGGCCAGATGTGGATTCTGTTCGTCAGACGAACTGAGCTGTCATGTCCAGAACCTTTTCGGAGCTGTGCCATTTGTTAGGATTGAACAAATAATTGCATGTCTTGCACAGTCACAGTCTTGACATGAGGCTAAGTCCTGCCAAGCTGAGTCCCCTCCCTACAGAATTTTGATTCCAGCTGTGGTTTCTGTGTTGCGGACTGTGTGTTTAAGCTTCCCCCTCATTCTGGGTTTCAGGGTGTCCCTCAACACCAGCTGCCTCCTCAGTACCAGAAGATTGTGGAGAGGTTGAAGGTTGTAGAACAGGAGATCTCTGGAGGAGCCATGGCTATTGTGGCTGTTGTTCTCAACAATAAGCTCTATATTGCCAATGTGGGTGAGTTGTTTGGGGTTTTTTTGTCAGCAGCTCAGTGTAAGTGTTTCTGAAGATGACTACAGTCCTAAGAGTTTAAAGAAATTTGAACGTGGGGGACAGTTTCTCTGGTCTGTGGCCATGGAGTGATATCAGGAGGAAATCAGCCTGGCTATGGATCTCTGCAGGTTTTGACTGGTGCAATATGCATGACCAAAGAACAGCAGGAAAATGAGTTGAGAGGCAGTAGTTGGAGCTTCACTGAGCAATGGAGAGCTTGCTTGTGAGGCACTGGCTCAGGCCTGGGTGAAGAGCTGCCTAGCAGGCCTGCTATGCTGCTAGCAAGTCTGCTGTATGGAGTTTGTGATGAGACCTGAGCTCTTCTCTTCTTTTCTGTCTTTATTCTCCTTCCCTGTGCCTTTTTCCATTTGAGTGTGTTCTTCCTCTTAACGGCGGAGCTATCTGGTGCCTCATCTTGCTGCTCCCACTGCAGGTACCAATCGGGCCCTGTTATGCAAGTCCACGGTGGATGGGCTGCAGGTGACTCAGCTCAACGTGGATCACACGACAGAGAACGAGGATGAACTTTTTCGCTTCTCCCAGCTGGGTGAGTGTCGAGATTCACGTTCTTATCCGAGAACGTCATGTGCCTCCGTTTATCTGGGACACCAGGAATGACTCAAGCCACTGGAAACAATCAATGACCATAAAAAGAAGCTTATTGTGTTTTCAGATTATGAGATTGGTCCCTTCTGTTTTTTCTGCATACCTGGCCATTGTGAGGCTACAGAATGAGTGAGTTCAGCTCTCTGAACCAGCAGAAAACTATCCTTTTTTATTTTTTCTCTCTCTCTTTTTTTTTTTTTTTCCCCAAGTTTTGAGTGTAAGCTTTGTGCCTAACTGCCAAACTGACATTGATTTGCCCTCCGGCTGTGTGATTGCTGGAGTCGATAAGAAGGCAGGAGTGGAAGCGCGCAGCCAGAGGGTAGAAGTGGGATGGACAATACATGACTGCTCCTTTGGAGGCAAACCACAATTATGCTGGGTTAAGTTCTGCGTCACGCTGCACCCTTGGGGTGATGCGTTTCAGTCTGCCTTTGTACAAGCTGCTGCTGCAAAAAAAGCAGCTACGTTTCAGACAGAGTCAGGCCAAGCACTGATATTTACTGCTTTCCCATCAGTAACTACTGAACTCTTAATTCTGACATATTTCTTTAGGTAACTTCCCTTTTCCTTTACAGTGTTCTGACATGTTTTCTTTCTTCGTCCGGAACTAGCCCAGACCACTTGTGTGATTGCTAGTACTGAATTCATCTTATTGAGATACATATGTCCTGTATATGTGTTTAGGTAGATCTAACTTGGCATTCTTCCTTAAGTTCACCTGGCAGATATATTCTTACCCAGTAGGGCAATCAATGTGGTTATTTTCTGCTGCTGGATCTCGTTTTATTCTGTTTCCCTTCCGTTTCTAATTTTACTCATACTCCTGCAGTAGGGCTGTGTGCCATGAAACAGAAGACTGAATAGAAGAATCCAGGGAAAGAGTCCCTTTGACTGTCTTTCTACTGCCAAAACCACAGAATTTAGCCACAGTCCATAGCAGGACAGGGATCTGCTAGAAATACCAACTTTAACTTGGCACAACAGTGGCCCTCCTGGTGGTCCCAGCAGAAGGAAGAGCCTGTTTAACAAGCCAGTGTGTACCGGCTGGTTTGGGGGCCCAAAGGAGGTTGTCATAGGGCTAGGCTGAAGCATGGTGGTAAGAGGCAGTGGGGATAAAGACGTACATCGTGATGATGCCTGTGTCGCACCTCTCCTGGGGGAAGGGAGAGAGAGGTCTTACGGCGTTGTGGCTCTTCACCCAGCACCCTGCAGCTTGTTCAGTGCTCCAGGAGAGCTGCCGTGATTGAGACACAACCTCTCTGGCGTGCTGCGAGCCTCCCTGTGTTTGTGTCTGTCGATAGCATGTATGCCCCTGCCAGGAGCTGGCAAATGAGCCAGGCCGTGTTGGTGAGTCAGCTTTGGTCTGCAGCAGATGGCAGAGTTGTGTCTTAGTGCTGGGGTAGGTGTGGAGCCATCTGTGCAGCAGGGGTTAGTTTGACTCAGAGGGAGAGTTTCATTTGGACCCCTGCCTTCACCTTGTGCTGTAGACAGTCATCCCCAGATAAAAACCTCAAAATAACATTTTCTGCCTGTTAGCTCTAGGTATAACCAGGAAAGGGGAGTTGCCACAACAGAGCAGGTAATGGCTCATCTGCTCTGAGTGCTGCCTCAAAGAGTAGCTGCACCCAGATGGTCCCTTTTAGAACTTTCTTCAGGGTGGGATTCCTTCCTAGCCCCTGCCAGAGGTATATCCCATTAAATTTATTTAAATACTGGTTTGGTCCTTATTTTAGGAGTAGCCCACATCAGTTTGAGCACTTGAGCAAATTCAGTGCCTCTTGTAGGTAGTTCTGCTTTTTTCCCCTCTGCAATTTAGTGTATTGGTGAAATTGTCACATGGAGTTTAGGAGCAGGGATTGATAATAGGGAGGAGAAAAAAGCAGAATCCTTCACACACGTTTTCCTCCTTCCTGCTTTTTCCTCCCATGGCACAGTCCAGAGCTGACAGGCGCAGATGTTCCCCTGCCTTTTCAGCAAATGCCTGTGCATCCAGGCCAGCTGCCGCCGGTGGCTTTGGACCAGAATGTGGGCTTTGTCTTGGGGCCAACTGTTGAATTCAGAGCATCTCTCTCCTCCTCTCTCCTTCCCAGATTACAGCTAATGAAAAAGTGTCCTGTGGAACACAGCAAGTTGTGCTTCCTTTTCTCTCTGTTGGACTCATGATGATTCTTTGACATCTTGCTTTGTCTTGCAATTCTCTTCAGCGGTGGATATTTCTTTTTTCATTTCTGACAGTATGACTAGTCCAGAGGAAATCCTGCAAGTTTCCCAAAGTCAGTTAAACTTTTTTGGTTTTCAATCTGGCAGGCTTGGATGCAGGGAAAATAAAACAAGTAGGAACTATTCGTGGGCAGGAAAGCACTCGGCGCATTGGAGATTACAAAGTCAAATACGGCTATACTGATATTGAACTGCTCAGGTCAGAAAAACTCAACTTTGTGGTTTCAAGCCCTCATTTTCTTCGTGACCCCTCCATTCTCACCTGCTGTGTCACCATTAAATACTAAATGACAGTGTCTCTTTCCAGTGCTGCTAAATCTAAGCCCATCATAGCAGAGCCCGAAATCCACGGAGGGCACTCACTGGATGGGGTGACTGGCTTCTTGGTGCTCATGTCCGAAGGGCTCTACAAAGCGCTGGAGGCAGCTCATGGGCCTGGGCAGGCCAACCAGGTGAGGCTGCTCACTCGGGAGTCCTTCCCTCAGCTGTTGACTCACTCCGGCAGCATCAGCTGCTCTCATGCAGACTTCCCTCCACATCTGTTCCGTGAGCGGTGGCCGGGGTTAATGTGTGGGCCATCCGGATCCAGGCCACAATTCTATGAGAGTCACCAAACCAGTTCAATTCTATGAGAGCCACCAAACCAGTTCTGGGCCTGTCCTGTAGGGGTGGCCCCGTTAAAGGGAATGGGATGATTCACAGCAGGGCAGGCCAGACTGGCAAGCGTCACAGTCAGATGAGTTGCCCTAAAACCTCCTAGATCAGAGGGGCAGGAAAGATTTCCCCCCAAATCTCTTTAAGCATCCTTCCTTTTATTTTTTTTTTTCTTTTTTTCTTTCTTCTCTGCACTGCTCAGGAAATAGCAGCCATGATAGCCACAGAGTTTGCCAAGCAGACGTCGCTGGATGCAGTGGCACAAGCAGTAGTGGACCGGGTTAAGCGGATCCACTGCGACACTTTTGCCAGTGGTGGGGAACGCTCCAAGTTCTGTCCCCGGCATGAAGACATGACACTGCTTGTGAGGAATTTTGGGTACCCTCTGGGTGAGATGAGCCAGCCCATGCTGACACCAACGCAAGGTATGTTGGGGAAAGAATGAAATGAATTGGAGAATGGAGGATAAGATCTCTTGATTGATCCACCACTGACCTAACATTGTGAGAGGAGATACTCAGTGTAGAAGGAATTTTCTTACGTAAAGGGATTATTGGTTTCTGAGAGATAGAGTCCATGACAGAATACAGCATCCAAGAAAGGCAGTTTAGTATGAATTCTTGGGTTCTTTGCCCTTTCTTTGCTGCTGTGCACCCCCAGTCACTCATATCTCAACTGTGTTTTGTAACCCTTTGTGTTCTCCCTCCTCAGGAGGCCGTGTCTACCCTGTCTCCGTGCCGTATTCCAGCTCCCAAAGCACAAGCAAGACAAGTGTCACACTGTCTCTTGTCATGCCTTCCCAAGGCCAGATGGTCAATGGTGCCCACAGCAGCTCGACTCTAGATGAAGCCACGCCCACCCTCACGAAGTAAAAATCCCGTTCTCTTGCTACGCGCGAGTTTTTCCCTGCACCTCATGCTGTGTAAACTGGTTGAAAAGCAGGAAGCGACCTGTCGGTTACCTGTCAAGTCATTCCATTATCTGCTGTGTAGCCCTGCTGACTGCAGTATCGACAGCCGACAGGATGTGTTAGCTGGAAAGGAGTGGGAACGAGTAAAATGAGCAGCTCTGAAGCCAGCTCTGGGAACGTGCATTGGGAGCAGCATCTGCTGCTCTTGGCGGAGGGCACTCTGGCACGGAGCAGGCCCTCTCCTTGGATCTTGCACGCCAACCGTGTTCAGTGCTGTGGGAGTGTGAGCACCCCTCATTTTAATAAGGAAGAGGGGCTGTGCGGGTCACCTGTAAGGCTGCTGGATAGGCTGCGCTGCACAAGTTGACGTGCTCAGAGGCAGAGACCAGGGTATGAAAAAAAAAAAAGATGAAGGTTAGAACTGGGTTGCATTTGGATCCACTTTGCAGGATCATACAAGTTGGTGGCTCTGGTTTAGGTTCAGGCTTTGGCTGAGCACAGGGGGGTGTGTGTACATGCTGCAGAGTGAAGAAGCTCTCTGGTTATTGTGTTGCAGTAGCTCCAGAAACAATGAGACTGACGCACTAGAGCTGCTTTGGCTGCAGCGCAGGTCACGCAAGAATAGCTTCCCTTGCTGCCAGGCTCTTCCCGTAAAGCTCATACTGTATGGGTATGGGGAGGTCAGCAAAGTACGTGCCTTTTTATTTTTTATTATTTTTTAGTTTTTAGTTGATCAATTCCAAGCAGTCCTCAACACTGAGAGCAAGATGCTGTGACTTGTTTGCTAAGGATAGCTTGATCTGTCAAGAAGCTGGCGTGTTTTCTGGGGCTTTCCTTGTCCAAACCGTCATATGGGGAAAAATAAAGATGCTTGTGTTCTCTCTTTTTTTCTCTCTGTAGCCAAAGCCCAACTGTGACTCTCCAGTCAACTAATACTCACACGCAGAGTAGCAGCTCGAGTTCAGACGGCGGTCTCTTCCGCTCCCGACCCACCCACTCCCTCCAGCCGGATGAAGACGGGCGTGTGGAGCCCTACGTGGATTTTGCAGAATTTTACCGCCTTTGGAACATGGACCATGGCGAGCAGGGAGCACTGACTGTGTCCTAATGTGGAAATCTGCCTCCTCCAGGCACCCGGTGCTCAGTCGCGTGAGCAGAGGCTGAGGCCAGACTGAGAGCGCTCCCCCAAGGGCTGTGTTCTGCTGAGAGTTAATTCCTGTCCGGGATGTGCCGAACACCGGGCTCGGGGAGCGTGAGCAGTGCTCTCTTATGCACACATCCTCGCCTGTGCCCTGCATCTGATCCTGAGCAACCTCCTTCCCTCAGAAGCCCTGTGAATAGGGGAAAGGGGTCTTGAATGCGACCTTCCCTGCCGTTTCTTGCAAATAAAGATGCAGAGAGGGCTTCCTCTGGAAAAATGCAAGAGTAGAGGCCTGTACAAAGGCTACGTGTGCGCGCGGGTGTAGGTGTATGCGTGTGTGCCTGTGTGTGTGTGTGCGTGTGCTGTCATAATGTATCCACAACTTGATTCATAATGCTGTGATTTCCAGTGTTCAACTCCATAGAAGATACCTCTATTTTGCAGAATAAATAACTTATAGCTACACCCGGTGGCATCTCTGTGGCTTGCTCTCTTCCTTACAGTGTCATGTGTGGGCGTGACAGCCTTTCCTAGTGAAACCCTCTATGCTGGAAGAATAGAGGGAGTTGCACTTTGCAGCAGGCAGACTTCTCTTGTGAAAATGGCCTGAGCCCTTTCTGGTGCCTTGTCCCATGTTGCCAAGAACAGGTTGCTCAGAGAGGTGGTGGAAGCCCCATCCCTGGTTTCAAGGCCAGGTTGGATGGGGCTCTGAGCAATCTGATCTAGTGCGAGATGTCCCTGCCCAGGGCAGGAGGGTTGGAACTAGATGATCTTTAAGGTCTCTTCCAACCCTGACAGTTCTATGATTCTGTGTTTACTTATTTGCTGTGCTTTGGCACTGGATTACGGTTTGAGGTTAAACTATAAACTCAGATCGTTTTGTAGGCAAAATTCAATTCGTTTCCCTTAGTGCAGCCCATCTGGAAAGTTGCAGAGGGCAGGTGGAGGGAGTTAGGCAGTTTTCCCGCACAGGCTTGTGCTGGCGTGCAGCAGAAGTCACAGGATAGAACCAGAACCATGTCGTGACGCGGCTGCCTTGAAGATGCAGGTGTGCACCCTAGTGTCAGAGCAGGCAGGTGGGCAGCGAGGAGAAGAGGGGTCCTGTTGGACTGGATATGCTTCGGCTTAGCCAAGTCCTGGACTGGCTCTTGGAGGCGTCGGTGATCTTGCTCTACAGTTCAGAGTTGGAACGGCAGGCGGCAAGCGAGCCTCTTCCCTGCCTGCTCCAGCCTTCCCCTTCAGCCTGCCTCGCCGGCTCCCGGGGGAAGGAGCCTTAACCCGGCAAACACGGGGAGGCCTCGGGGTCCCTCCGTGGGGAGTTGTGATAAGGCAGCAGGCGAAGCCAAGAGAGGGCTAGAGCAGATTACAGGAGAAAGGGCAAATGAGGGAACCGGTTTGGGTTCCTTTCTGGATATATTTTTACTTCCAGGCTGGTCACCTTAGGAAGGATAAAAGGAATGGGAAGGGATCAGGATGAAGCAGCAAAGGATGCTGCAGTCAAGGCCAGTGCATAGCTGAGCCCTGGTGCGTGTGGGTTCAAGGCACTCGTGGCATGGCAGTTTAGAAAGGAGTGGAGAGGTATTTATCCCTTCACATAAACCATATGGCACCGAGTGCCCCCAGGCAAGATCCGAGTTCACTGAGAAATACATGGGCAGGATCAGAGTGGTGAGAAACACCCGTTTTCCTCCAAAGGCCAAACAGGGATGCCTTACCCATAGGTGAGTGGCTCCACCACTGCCTCCTCCAGCTCCTGCTGGCATGGCTTTGCCCTGTGGGGTTTCCGGTGAAAATCTGTGGGGGTCTCAGCTGCTGGGCTGGCTGCAGAAGCTCGTCTTTCCCTGCCCTTCTGTCATTCTGTCGAGACCCTTTCTCCAACCCTGCCAGGGAAGTGGTGTTCGGTGGCGTGAAGGGAAAGGCGGCAGTGTTGGGTGAGGTTTGGTGCCTTGTCCTTGAGGCTGGCTGAGGCAGGGGCTGGCAGTCCCTCAGTTGTGTCCCCTGCCCCACGAGCAGCGGGGAGTTCAAGTATCTTGACCCCAGCCTGGCCTTGTCCAGGACTGCTCTGAAATGCTGCTGGATCCTATCCTTTCCTCCAGGTTCACATGTGGCTACTTGTATAGGATGGTGCGATCCTGGTATGGACTAAATGGAGTTGGAGAGGTTTTATCCTATTCTGTGTTCCCTAACCTGGCATGGGTTTTGATAGCTTTAGAAATGAGTCTTTCTTGCTTATTCCCCCATCCTATTTATCTATGATATTTGCTAACTTATACTGAGAAACAGTGCCAATGGGAAATATTCCAGCCTGTGGATGCTCCAGATAAAAGTTTTAAGAATTGCCAAACACACTTACATAAAGCAGATCACGCAAAAGAAACTGATCCTTTGGCATAATTACCTGTTTATGAAGTAGGAAAAAATAAAATGTGTAGGAGCGGGTGGATCACACTAAGCTGTGTCTCTACAGACACTGGAAAAAAGAGGAGGAAAATAGATTTTCTGTACATGCTAAGTAAGTCGCGGCTTAGGAGTCCAGGTCGAAGAAACAGACTGAATGTTGCGTACAGGGGAGGGAGGCTCCTGAGAGTATTTGGTTATTTAATATTGCCCTTAGGGAGTGATGGGAAGATGCAGGTTGTAACAACAGTGGAAAAACCTCTTCTCCCCTGTTCCTTTAAAAGGGAGGAGTGGATGGAAGAGGACAGAACCAGAGCAATCTGGAGAAACAAGAGCAGGGGCCTTTTTGCAGTGTAGTGAAATTCAAAACCACTAAAAACATGAAGTCCTAGGCAGAAAGAGAGGAAAACAGTGCAGCTATGTGCTACAAGACTGCTAGAGAGGAGCCGGCAAATTAAGATCCAAATATGCAGAACAAGTCTCCTGTAAAGGCAGTTAATCTTATTTTTTGAGAGCTATCCCTAATGAAACAAGGGTAAAAATGAGAAGCCTTGTCTCTGGAATGGGAGCAGAGGGGATGCTCCGCACGGCCCTGAACTGCGGGCACTGACTGCAGGTTGTTTAGAGGTGCTCAGGCTGTGGCTGGTGAGACAGGCTGGGAGAAGGTCCCAGCGCTCGCGGGCAGGCAGAGATGTGAGCGGGCAGCCCAGCTGACACGGCACGCTGAGGATTCATTTGGCAGGGCCAAAGGGGATGTGAAGGCTTTGCACGGTCTTGAAGAGGACCGAAGGAAGCCATGTGCACGTCGCTGCATGCCAGGGGCATGGAGAAAACCCAGCAAGACTGAAAAGGTCTTTATAGACTCCCTGTTGCTTTGAGGACTTCCAGAAACATCTGACCAGAAGAGGAGGCCATGTCGGGGCTTGTTTCAGTTTGGAACTGGGGCTTGGGTTGCTCTGCAGTCAAAGCAGTGCCTCTGTCCTGAGCTGTCCCCAAAAGCCTTCTCTTGGCTTGCACTCTTGCTCCTCCCCAAACCACTGTTATCACCTCACCAGGTGGAGGTGTCTGGGTGGGAGACAGGAGACTCCCCATTGTTCCTCCCATTCTTAATTTTTCTGTCCCTCCTTGCTTCTTCTCCTCTGAGAAACATCTCCAGCAGCCCTGTGGGGAGCGCCCAGTGCTGGTGGAGGCGCCTCAGTGGGTGTTGGAGACACACCCTTGCTGGCAGCTGTCTGCACCTTCTTCCTGCCCCCCATCCCCCCATAAATCTCACAGACTCGGAACAAGCGGCGAGCTCTCTGCAGTACTGGGAAAGGGCAGTTTCCAAAAATTGCGTGGTAGGGTTTTGTCGACCTCAGCTTGGGGTGGAAATAAGCCATCGGAGGCAGACCTGGAAATTCTTGTGAGTCTGCAGCCACAGGGGCCTTTTGATGCCATCTGAAACTGAGCTCCTCGCTGTCTCTGCCACTGAAGGATCACTGGAGACTTTTTTATTTTAAGGTCTCCATTAGCACACCCATTTATAACAAAATCTTTAAATAGCGGAAGGACAGCCAGGCAGTGTCACAGCTGGCAGTGAGTGCTCAGCTCTGGTACATGGTCTGTGCGCAAGTCATGCAGGGTTTTCTTCAGCAGCCAAGGCATTAGCTGAAGCTAACAGGGGCAGATTTGTCCCAATTCACCTTTTACTTCACTTTTGGCACACATAGACTTTCCAAAAGAGAAGAGGCACATGGTGAGCAAGTGCCACTTGGTGCTGTCAGTGCTCCCTGAACCATGTGAGGGACATGCAGCATCCTCAGCTGGAGTCTCTGCTCTGGGGTGGTGCTCTGCTCTCCTCTCTCCCCTTTTTATTTCCCACCACATTAAGGTTTTGAGAGAATTAGGAGATAGTGGAAGGGTTTGTGGCATCATTGAAAAAAATGCCGAAATCGGCCTCCTATCCTTGCAGGGCAGAGATGGCCATGGCTGAAGGACAAAGCTACCTAAGATATATTTTTTAATTTGATAGCTAATAGATAGTCATTTATATGTAATAGTCTGATTTTTCCTTCTTAGAAATTCTGAGAAAAGTCGTTAGAGTAATCCTGTATAGCTCATTACTCAAGTGACTCGCCTTTCTCTGGTTAAGGGCATCACTGGCATCCTAAAACATCAGTGCCGTTAACATCAGTAGTAAATAAACCACCAGGGATGGGTTAGGTATTTTAAATCCTATAGCTCTCTCTGTAAGCATAGGACTGCTATTTGGAGTATTCTGGCTAAAATTCAGCACAAATACTTATATTCTGCCAACTCCAGTCCCCTCCAGGGAGCTTCAAATGGATACGATATTTATCTTCACTTCCCGTCTTAACTATTGTGTGTTGTCGCTGTGGGTTGCTAAACAACTGCTGTCTCATCGGTGGCTGTATTTTCCTGGCGAATAAAGTGAACCCCATGTGCATATGAACCATAAAGCTATTTGGAGTCCTTGCATAAGAACCCCAAGATACATGTAAGCTGTTAATATTTATTATGTGGAGCCGAGAACATCACTGAAGATGTGGGGATTAGAGTAAGTGAGTTCAGGCTGTTGAACAGCCAGACAGAATGGAAGAGAAAACAGATGCCCTGGAGGAATAAGAGCAAAAAGCATGAGGAATT